TTGGGACTTCTCAGCTTGGAAAAGAAACAACTAAGGGGGGGATATGATTGAGGTCTATAAAATCATGACTGGTGCGAAGAAAATAAGTAAGGAAGTGTTATTTACTCCTTCTCATAACACAAGAACTAGGGGCCACCAAATGAAATTAATAGGCAGCAGGTTTAAAACAAACAAAAGGAAGTATTTCTTCACACAATGCACAATCCTTTCCAGAGGATGTTGTGAAGGCCAAGACTATAACAGGGTTCAAAATGAACTAGATAAATTCATGGAGGATAGATCCATCAATGGCTGTTAGCCAGGATGGCAGGGATGGTGTCCCTAGTCTCTGTTTGCCAGAAGCAGGGAATGGGCAACAGGGGATGGATCGCTTGATTATTACCAGTTCTGTTCATTCCCTCTGGGGCACCTGGCATTGGCCACTGACTGAAGACAGGATACTGGGCTAGATGGACCTTTGGTCTAACCAGGTATGTCCGTTCTTATGTTCACTTTGCCAACATCTGTTAATTAGGCCTCATGACACCGCTGTGCATGGAATCTTGCCCATTTGCATAAAATGAGACCCAGGAGTAAGTAATTTGCCTGGGAATGCAAAAAAATCCATGGCAGAGTTGGGACTAGAAGTCACAGGCCTGCCTCCTAGCCTCCTTTCACCATAAAACATGCCGCTTTAATATGGAGTCAATTTCAGCTAATCCTGTAGTGGATGCTAATGTTTCAAAATTAAAAGACTAACCAATTGGACTGGGTTTTGCCACTCAAACCAATCGCTTTATTGTTGAAGAAATTGTACACATACCAGATCAAAGATGGGAAAGGCTAGTGCAAGCCATAAAGTGGGGATGTAGCAGCCCCCTTGCTGAACATAAAGGGCTTTAAAAATTAGAAAAACAGCATATCAATGAGCCTGCTGCAAGAAAGACCCCAGAGCACTCATAAGATCTCTTTCCAGCTAGTCCCAGTACTTTGGTACTTAAAGCAGGAACAGAAAACCCAAGGCCCTGTTCCACTTGGCTTTTGGCAGGCTGGCTTCTGAATCTGATGATTTTCCTGTTTAGCTGGACTCTATTCCCTTCAGGCCCCTCATAGTGCTTTCAGCACCCACAGTCTCAAAGCCATCCAAGCACATTTCCTAGGGCTCCATTGCAGTGATGTTTAAGATACAATGAGCTTTTCCTAGAGCAAATGGCAGTTTTACAGCAAGGTGACTCTCAACTTGTAGACAGAATAACAGACCTTGGGTGGGGAGGCCTCACTTCCCCAGGTGTTCAGAAGACTTGGCATTGCAAACCCCTTGCCACTTGACTTGATCTAGGATTCATATGCTGAGCAGTGGCAAAGCTTGGCACTTTGAAGAATGAGCACTGAAGCTGTTTCATTAGGGATTTATACCTCAAATGAGACTAAGGGTTTTTTGGAGTGGGGGAGATCTATTAATGCCCTGCCATAGGCCAGATCCTCAGCTGGTGTAAATTGGCACTGTTCTGTTGAAATCAATGGAGCTAAGGCTCTGGCCCATCGTGTTTACATTTGTTTTATACACTGAGTGACTGTGCTGTGGAATTTTCAATTATAATCTTGCAGAACATCCCATGTCTTTCTGTGCTGGCTTTATTGGAAAACACCTTCCTAATGAGAAAATTTAAGGCCTTATTCCATTCCACAAGCCAGGCTCAGATCCCTGATCGTTTGAGCTGTCCCTTCAGTGATACACAGTTGAATGATTTAGTTTCTCTTCCCAAATTAAGGGCCCTGTTATACCCACCCCAAAACAAAACAAAAACAGTTTAAGCAGAACTCCCCACTGAAGTCAATGGAGAGTTCTGCTTGTTTTAAAATATATATATATATATATATATATATCAGTGGCACTTTGCTGGCAAAAAGAGGAACAATTGCTTTTTTTTGTGTGACATACATGTAACGGGTCAGACTGTGGCCCCTTAGATCTGTGTATGGGTTGGGGTGTTCTCCAGGCATAATTCCCCTCCTACAGACAGAAGGAATGTTCCAATCTCACCATTTCCTCCTTTCAGAGTCTTATCCCAGACGTCTGGAGTCCCCATGAGGTTGGGTGAGCCACAGGTTGGTTGGGTGAGCCACCAGAGGTCACAGCCAAAGCTGGGGTACAGGCCCCCTGTAAGGATGGCTCTAGCTTCTACTAGGTTTGAGGGCTGCTTTTTTTCCCACCAAAGATTGGGGTGGGGCAAACCCTGCCCCTCTGAGGTGATGACGAAGTAATCTGTAGAAGGGAAACCTCACAAAAAAAGGCCCCTCCTACAGCTTTTAGGAAGGGACAACTTGATGCTTAAATTATAGTAAAACCCGTTCAAATGTTTGGCCTTGGCCAACGTCCGGCAAGTCTTGCTCTGTAGATACTTGCTCAGAAGATATATATATTTATATATATATTAAACTGTCTCCTCAGCTTTCTGTGATAGACAGGAGAGAGAGCAACCTCTGTCATATGCATCAGTCATTGAATGAAATCTTCTAGCATGCTGCTAGGTTATAGAATTATATTATATAAAATATTTAAAAATATTTAATTATATTAAAATTTTATATTTAAGTTTATATTTAAAATATTAAAAATTAAATATTAAATTATAGAACAGAGCTAAAGTGAGCCAGCCCCCAGTGGGTCAATAAAACGAATACAGCCCAGTGCAAGTCTGCAGGGACACCTAAGCCAGGGACATAATTTTGCTAGATGGATCAATATTAGCCAGGGGTTCAAGTGTTTTAATTAGAAGGCATATCATTTATTCAAAGTGGGCCGAATCCTGGAGGTTCTCATTTAGGTCTTACTCAGGCAAACTGCCAATGGCTCCAGCAGGAGTTTTGCCTGAGCAAAGAGTGAATAAACATCCAAAGAAAGTCTTCAGGATTTAGCTGAGTGTTCACACATTCCCTAAGCCAGTAACATCCGTTGTTATGGGAAATGAGGTAAGTGACAGAGTTACTGTCCTTATGGCGGGCGACAGGAGAGGCTAATGTTCCCATGTTGTAATTCCCTGGTTCAGTGGCTGTCTCAACAATAGATTAAAAACTGAGAAAGGACAAAGAGCTCTCAGTCATATTTGAAAATTTCAGCTGTGAGCTGAGTGGATTCAGAGGAATCTCCACCAACAAATAAAATAAAATTATTCATGAGTACTAACTAGTGGCCTTAGTTACAATCATTTGGTTTCTATGTTTGAACTAGTTCTTCTTGAGTTCTGTGAACAGAGCTTAGCCAGTGAATATTCAGATTCAGGCTGTGTGAATTAAAACATGAAGTGAATGGGAACTGTGGGTGCTGAGCACCTTGCAGGATCAGACCTCAGATGCTAGCAGATCTCTCTCAGCCTTTCTAATGTAGGTCTGTTGCTTTTCTGCACACACATAGTTTGAGCCGTGAGGTTTGCCATTTTATGGGCCTGCAGTGATCATCATGGATCAGAATAGGGCCCCATCCAGACAAGTTGTAACAACAAGATTTCACTCATAAAGCCAGCGTCCAGACTGAGCACTGGAGCAACTGACCGTGCTTCAGTGTTGTGCAAAAAGGCAAACTAATCTGCAGCAATACAATATGCGATTATGATGGCCGTGCTTTTGTGAATGAGGTCTTCTCTGTGCTGCTGATACATTCAGCAGGCTTGCTGTCTTAGCTAATCAGGATGCAGCGAATGAGTGATGGGCACAGAGAACACTTTTGCACCAACCTCTGTCAGGCAAAATGACTAAGCCTGCTGCGTAATGGCAGTAATGGCTTCCGATTTACAATTAAACTCCTCAGCTTTGCCCCTGCATTCAGTTCTGATAAGTGTCTTGGCATTTGTCTCTAGCTGATGCAGATCATTACTGGGGACAGTGTTCTTCTCTGCTGCCATTTTCTCTGAGTAGGACTCCTGCAGCTTCAACAAAATATTGGGAGAGACCAGAACTGTGTATGAATCCCATGTCTGTGTTGCGGCTCCTCTCTACGGGCAAAGGGACATCTAACCAGAGCTGACTACATTTCAGTGGTGATTAAAGCAATTCCTGTGTAAGTGGCATATTAGGATCTTTTGAGGTGAAAGATACGGCCTTCGCTTTGTCTTATTATTTGTGTCCATTTGTAAACTCCCTCCACGTTGTTACTTTAACTAAAATGTGTCTTCCTAAAAGGATTAAATCCACAAGAAAATGTAAGGATTTCGCTTCCTAGGAAGAGTGGGTTAAAATTAGTCCCAAACTGAGAAAAAAAAGTACCTAGGTACAACAAAAACATGCAGTAAAATGTCCCTTAAAACACTACACAGTTTAAACACAGCTGTGCAAGGTTCTTTGGCAATGTGCTATGTATCTTAGAGAGAAAATATAGCGTCATTATTAAAGTACATTTTAATGAACACTAAAGTCACTCATGTAACGGACAGAGTATGAGCCAATTTGTGGGCATTTTTAAGGTACTTGTGTTGCCCCCTTCCCAAAATAATACTGTTGCTTGTTGGGCCCTTGAGACTGCAGAGCACAGAGATTGCTTTGTTCTCTGAATGTATCTTATTTATCTGATCAAGAGCCATAAAGAAATTGACTTTTTTGACTTAAGCGGCTTTCTCATGGTTTCATCTGAACTCACAGGGGAATAATAAATGCATGAACTGATAATGCTGGGGATCATGAAATAGCTGTGAAAGGCTGGATACTACCAGGGCTTTTCAAGCTGTCTATGTGACGATCACTGCACTTGAAACGACCAACTCCACCTGCAGCTCTAGGACAGGAGAAACAATCCCTTTCTGGCAGAGTTACAGGACTGGATCTAAAGCACCCTGTCCAGAAACTTAGCAAAAGGACCAAATAGTGCACCAGAAAGGCCTGGTGTGACCCACTGAAGAGGAATTCCTGGAACAGGCAGGTCCCATCTGGTCTTAAAAAAAAAAAATCTTTAGTCAGACTAACCCATTTAATTGAAAAGTGCAGGAGCGACTGCATCTGTGTTCTGAAAGCATCTGTCTTCTTTTAAGCCTATGCATCTGGAAAGAAGCTATGGGACGTGCCTGCCTCTCAGGCTCAGCAGCACAGCACTGGAAAACTGCTCTGGGAGCCACAGTGCCAGTACCAACTGCGCCACCTACAGGACAGCGCTAGAATTTCAGCTCTTCTGCCTCCCCGGCTGGAAGGTCATTGGATTTCTACAGGGTAAGGATCCCAGCAGCCCAGAGGAGTTTGCAGATTGCACGTCTTGCCTCCTTGCTAGACTCTGCAGGCAGGGTGAGGTCACCTTCCTAAATAGCATTGTCACGGTGCACTGATGGGCACACACACTGTTAGACTAATGTGTGCCTGCTGTTAGTGATTTTCCTTTATGGGGAAAGGGTCATGTATTGTTGGTGGCTGGAAAAAGGCCCAAAATTAAAGAGCTGAATATCCTTTAATTTTGGGGTGGTTCAAAATGCACTCCCAGAGCTACCGTTTGCAGATGGCCCCTTAATTTGGTAACGGACTGAATCAAAATCCTTGATATTATCAGTTTGGGATGTGCTCTAAATCCAGATGGAAATACTCCCTCTAGGACTTCCTCCATTTCTCTCTTAATTTGCCATGTCTGCCATACCACAGTTGCAGATGTTGCCCCATCAATGCCCTCTGGGCTGAGGGAACACACAAATACACAGGCTGAGGTTTGAAAACACAGCAGCACTTCTTTAAAACACCCCACGGCCTACACGTCTTTTACAATGTCCTCATGTGAATGGACTTTAGCAAAGTCACGGTTCTGACTACCTTTGGGGAGCTATTGTTATTTGGCAGCTTCTGCTGTACACAATGGAACAGGCTCCAGTGCGCCTCTCACGACGACCAGGAGATGAACAGTGGGTCATTAACTCAGGTGCAGCAAAAGGGAGAGAAAATAAGGGATTTTCAATTTAAGATCTCACAGGAAGCATGCTAATTTACTTCACAAAAATTCCACTAGCAGCTTCATGAGAAACAGACCCATTTACGGGCAAAGGGGCATCTAACTGAAATTACCACTCCTAAATCCTAGCCCAGGCCAAACTGCTAAACTAAGCTTCTGAGACTGGGTTGAGTTCTGGGGATTGGCATAAACTCCTGAATTATTAACCTCCCAGGCCAAAGCAAGCCCCTGAGCTGGAGCAAACTTCCACATGCAAGTGAGCTTCTGAGTAGTGCTACACATCCCGCCTGCAGTAAGCACCTGAACTCGATAGTAAACATCCCCCTCTCCGAAACCTCACAGCCAGAACAGGCTTGTAAATAGAATGAGCTCCCAACTGGAGTGAGAGCACAGCCAGAGAGACCAACTTTATAGTCTCTTAGCCCCACCCCTGATTGGTTTTGGCTAATCAGCCCCCTCCACCTGACCCAAAATGGAGTCTCGCAGGCAGCATTAACCCTGCATCCTCTTCCAGCATGTCAAAATGCCATGGTCTCGGTGGTTTATCCTAACAAGGGGAAGGAAAAGGAGAAGCACCCATCCCTGCAATGTGCATTCTGCTGTAGGGTTCTCAGTATTACTAACCCCAAGTGTTCAAAAATCAGGAGGCAGGCTCCAAACGAGCGTGAGATTCTTAATAATAACAAAGGCTTTTTTTTAATTTGCCTTCTGGTATTTAAGCCTTGAAGGTTCATGTTTTCAAGCTTTTCTCAGCAGTCATAAGGGTAGACACTTTTTTTTTTTTAAATGAAGGGTGGGCTTCTCATGCAATCACATGATGCCAGGAGCTGGGGGCTGAAAGAATAACACCAAATATCCTGAGAAAATCTTGAGAGTTGGCAACCATGGGTCTGACTTTCCTGTCTCTAGATGGGACTCCGTAAGGAACTTTAATACAAGCAGAGTATGCTACCTGTTGAACCCCATTCACAAACCTCCCCGCTGGACCTCCACCATTGCTGTGGTGGACAATTCCATCACAATACCTTGTGATGAGGGACGTGGGGTGAGACTCTTATGCGGTCACTTATTGGTAAGTCTCTGGCATTCACATGGCACTGAGTTGCCCCATTTCTTTATGCCACCTAACGGAGGAAACACTACTTGATCATTTGTGAAACCGTTCTATTCAACACCACTTGGGTGAGGGTAGGGTGGAATGAATTGAGACTCTCCCCTCCCCTTAGTCTTATGGCAATATGCCTTGGGGATAGGATGGGGTAATGCTCCACAGACCAAGTTCTTCTATGCAAGGAAACTCTGATTTGTTAGTGGGTATATTTTTTTAATACTTCTTTGCTGGGGTTGCAGTGAAATGAAATCACCATTGCAGGAATAATTGTGTCACTGAGGTGAAATGGGGGGAAGGCCCTTTGGGTCAATGGGGAAGGGAGCAGTGCAAAGATGAGACCCTCGCATCATGGGGACAAAAGAAGTTAATGCCCCATTAATTTCTCTGTAGAAAGAGTCAGGTAGGAATTCAAACCCCAGCTCTTCCACTCTATACATGATTAAGGATTCTACCACCTGTCTCTTCTCTGTCCTTAGCTGTGAGGTACGTCCGGGACCGGAATTCCTCACCAGATCCTACCTGTTTTACTCCAACCGCTTGTTCAAGGCCTATCAGTTCTACTACTGGGACCCCTCCTGCCACCATCCATCCCACTCCTTGGTCATCAAAGGCAAGCTCAGGCTGCGCCAGGCCTCCTGGATCACCCAAGGGGCAACTGAGGCAGACTACCACCTGCACAAAGTGGGTATTGTTTTCCACAGCCAGAGGGCCATGCAGGAGATTTCTGCCCGGATCAATCAGACATCAGGAGGGGGCTGCAGTGGATTCTTTCCACCTGGACGGTCCTGGGCTCCTGGAGTCCTCTATGAGGTGCTGAGTGCCAAGGAGGGGCGGGATTGCACCACAGCCCTGGGCTTTGCCATGCATGAACTCAGTCTGGTGCGGGTGGAGAAGCATTATGAGCCCCTGCTGCAAACTCAGCCGAGTGGCAGCAGGACGGTGGAGGAGCTGTACCTAGGGGACATTCACACCAAGTGGTCTGAGAGGCTCCATTATCGACCAACGGGGTATCAACGCCCTTTGCAGAGTGCTGTGGTAAGAACATCGCTGGCTCCTGGGCCACGTTAAAAAATGGAAGCCCAGCTTCCCTGGTGTCCCCTGTTTTTCAATGCATGTCTGTCTGCAGCCTGTATAAAGAGAGGTTCTTAAATTATTTACCCCACCTGCAGTAGGTCACCTCAGTATTATAATGATACAGACAGAGTTGATGCGGAGAAAGCCTGGCTTAGAAAAGACAAAATTGTGTCTTGTGCAAAGTGCTGGTTGGGGGGGAAGGGGAGCCTAACCACAAACGTAGGTGCTCAGTTGTATGCGAATCTGGCTCTTCCCTTTACTAAGCATGTGGCCTTGAAGCCTGGACTAAGCAGTAACAAAAACATACTATAGGGAACAGTCCTCCTCGGCTGGGGCATGGAGCGAATAGATTTTCTTTACCCGCTATGTTTTCACTAGAAATGCTGACTCAGATCCTGGCATGAGGTTAAATCCCACATCATTATAAGCTCTGTGTGCTGTTATTTGTCTTGCAGCCCTCATCTTATTTCTTTGTCCTGTCCTTCAGGTTGAAAGAGGAAAACAAGCATCTTCCATTAAATCATTATTCCAGAATATAATGCCATTAGAAGGGGATATTGACCTGAATACAATTGTTATCCTACAGAAATCACTTTACTTCAACATAAATAATATTATACATTATTTTTATTTTTTGCCAGTAGGTTGCTTTATTTCCAGGGGAAAGAAAAAGGTATTATTTATCTAACTCATAACTAAATGTGACTGAGCAGTGAGATAGGGCAAAAAAGCCACTTATGAACATTACCAGCTGGAACAGGACTAACTCATATGAACTGCTTCATTTGGGGGGAGGTTTCCACCCTTGTGATACTGCAACAACTGGAATTTAAGAGAGAAAAAGAAAAAAAGAAAATGACAAGCCTCCAAGTAACATGCTTGGATTGGTATAAAGCTGGGTGTTATCTTGGGCCAAGACCATGTACATGAGCTAAACCAGATAGTAAACAAACATTTTTAAATGTTAACTTAAAACCAAACCTAAGATACTGAAATTCACTCTCTAAATATAGTGCTGTAATTAATCTGTAAACAGCTCTCCCCAGCACATGATGTCACACTTGGGGATAATTAGAAGCTCCAATACATTAGAAATAATTTCATGTGACTGGTTTAAACAAATAAGATTGTTGGCTTCACAATATGAATTTTGTTGGACGCAGCCTTCTCTTTTAATTAACTAACAGGCAACATTAGCCTGCACTAGCAAGAGATTTATAAAACTTTGCTGATGTCATGACCTGCAGGTCTCAAACCCAGGTCCAGGAGATGCCCGAGGTTGGTGTTAAATCATGTGCCAACCCTTCACCTGACACTTCACTATTACCAGCTAGAACCAGGACTCCTTGAAGCCTAACTCAGCTGGAAAACTCTACCCTAAGCCCTGATTGGTAGAACACCAACACACCTGATTGGCTTGCTCCCCCTACTTAAGACAGAAGGAGGAGCAGGAAGTCTGTACAAGTGGGGTGTACCCTGTTTTGGACTGCTCACCCAGTGCTATCTATGCCTGTCTTCTGATCTCCTGGTTTCCTGACCCCTGGCTTGTCTACTGACCCTGCACTCCTGGTTCCTGACCTGACCTCCTGGTTCTGAACCCTGGCTAGTGTGGGAACCTGGCCCTTGTCTTATGCTGACCAGTAGGCCTGGCTACCTACATCCTGGTCCTGACAGCTAGGAGCTATTTTTTAACCTATGGGGAAATACTACTCTAACTTCCTTAAATCTATAACTGTTCTAAAGAAATCCACTCTCCTGAAATTACCTCCATTATCAAAGAATTTCCTGTCTACAGGGAATATATATATTTGCCAACTTCTGGGATTATTTAGCAATAATGGACTGTGGACTGTCAGCACTCATTAGTGTGACAGAAGCAGTAAAGCAAGCTGAAAATGACTAAATTACAGTAGACTCCAATCAACATGCATGTAAATTACCCACCCTATTGAGTTATTTAATCTTGTTCCATGTGAACAGTTAGATTAGCTAGAATTTCAAAAAATGATCAAATGTTATAATACTTATTTTTTTAAAAAGTCTCTACGTACTGACACTTTTCCATATGAAATATAGGAAAAGGTTTCAACTTTGCACAAAGCTCCTATAGAATTAGATTGGACATAGGATTGGTTTGACATAGAGCTTTGAGCAATGCTCAGGCATCCTGGGGCTCCTTCAAAATTAAACACATGTCGGTTGGATCCACGTTTTTCATAGAGTTTATAATGTCAGAAGGTGTTTTGATACTGGGTTTCATGGACTCTTCTAGGAGATGGCAGCACCATTTCTTAGCCCTCCTGCTGAGGGTCTCAGCTGTGCTTTGGCTTTTCCGGCACCATCTGAATGGATATAAAAATATACAGGCCTATTTGACAACTCCCAGCAGCACCAGAGACTGCCTCAATAACCTTAACTGGTGGCATTTTCTTTAAGTCCAGGTCTTGTCTAAGTTTTCACTAAGCACATGGTGTTGTGGGAGCAAAACCTCAGCATTTGTGCCCTGATCCTAACCTCTCAAATAGTCACAGAAATCTTGTAGTGAAAGAAAACCAGGGGATTCCAAAAGCGTATCCCTTGTCCTGCTTGCAGTGCTCCTCTTGGACCAACTACTGCCCTGAGGTGCATGGCACACAGCTCCCACTGGCCTTCGAGAAGAGCCAGGTGCTCATCTCCAAAGACAGAATTTGGCCCTTCCTGTTTTTCCCTAGAATAGCAGGGGATCTAGGCAGCCTTTTATCTTACTAAACTGCTTGGACCCATTGGGCCAAATTCATCCCTGATGCAGCCTCCTGGACCTCAATGAAGTTGCACCAGGGATGGAGATTGGCCTGTTGTTGTTTAAATACTTTGAATGGGGGTTTGCATGTAATATTTTTCATTTACTTTTTATTTGTTTGCCTCCAACAGCATCACGTGCATCCTTGCCCTGCTTGTGGGATTATATACAGATCTGATGAACACCATCCACCTATCTTACCAGCTAAAGCTGAGCTGCCGCTGCAGTTAAGTGGCAGGTGGGTGAGTGCTCATTGTGAAGTCCGGCCAGCTGTGCTTTTTCTTACCAGGTACTTCATATTTCATGGCACCAATCGCACCTGGGAAGGGTACTATTATCACTACTCTGACCCACTCTGCAAGCAGCCTACTTTTACCATCTATGCATCTGGGCACTACACCAAGGGCATCCCATCCTCCATAGTGAGAGGAGGTACAGAGCTAGCATTTAAAGTGACCTGTGCTCGGGTTACAGCAATGGATCAGGTAACAGTGACTATGCTAAACTCCTCAGAGCCAGGGACCTGCGGGGAGACCGGCTCCTGGAGTGCCAGGATTGAGCAGGATATAACACTGACAAATGGGTGTCTGGCTTTGGGTATCAAGCTGCCCCACACAGAATATGAACTCTTTAAAATGGAGCAAGACATGAAAGATCGCAGCTTGCTGTTCATCGGCGAAAGGCCCACAGACGGATCCAGCCCTGACAGACCTGAGAAGCGGCCCACCTCATATCAAGCACCTCTTATTCAGTGTGCTGGGGCTACTGGGGTGTTTTCTAAACACATCAGTCCAAGCTACCTAGGAAAAGAGGATAATAACGGGAATGAAGCACTAAAACCTTTGCCTGTGACCTTTTTATTGTCACTTATGGCAATGCAGTTTTTAAGATGGGACTAGATGAGTCCAGCTGTTTGCTCAGGTGCAGCACAGAATTCAGACACTGGTGCTAAGACAATTTTATATCCTCTTTAGGTAAGCACATCTGGAATCAGTTTGCTTAGATTCTGTACACATTAAAAACAAAATGGACAAAACAAGAGGGTTTCCCTGCATAACATGCCTGATTATATACGATGTGTACTGTGCGTATATTTCCTAATTGACATTCATTGGGCATAAATCTAACGTAGTGCCATGGACACGTTGCAAATTGTCAAGTAATTTAGCAATACTAAAAAGACGTGTTAAATTAGAACTGCTGATTCTAGCCTGCAGCATTGCTAGGATATAATTGAGAGCTCCAGTCACACAAAAATCCAGTTTCCAAAGCTTTGAGGGCTCATTCTCTCAAACGGATTCTCCCCCGCCCCTCACTTACTGCTCCTGTAAATTCATGTAGCTGGCTTTGGCAAGGGCTCTGGATCAATCACAGAAACTCATATCATACAAAGAAAAGGAGTACTTGTGGCACCTTAGAGACTTAGAGTGGCACTGAATGCATCCGATGAAGTGAGCTGTAGCTCACAAAAGCTTATGCTCAAATAAATTTGTTAGTCTCTAAGGTGCCACAAGTACTCTTTTTCTTTTTGTGAACACAGACTAACATGGCTGCTTCTCTGAAACCTGTCATACCATACACACTCTCTCTCTCTCTCAATCGCTCTTCCTTGAGTTCAGGAAGGGCTCTCCGTGGCAGACTGATGCCATCCTTGCAACGTACAGTTTGCAAGCTCTGCTTTCTTGTTGTGTGCATGTTAGCTTTCCCAGGTTCTGGGCTGTGATGGCCCCAGTTCACAAGCAACAATGCGTGAGACACAAGTGACCCTGCCATCCCGCTTTTTCTGTTACGACCTTGCTTCTGTCATATTACACTGACTGCATAAGGGTTGGGTTCACTCTGTTCCACCTCTCTGTGTTATCACGTAGCCCAAATGTTCTGAGACATGACCAGCCGATTTATGACTGTACCACCAGGGAGACATAAGCATAGGTGCAAAAAGACACTATACCGACCCTGTGTTACCTCTGCCCCCACTTTGGCACAATCCGTTGTGCGTTTGCTGCTGCATTCCCTTAACAAGAGTCATCAATCCAACTCTGGCTTAGATCTCAAACATAAAAATGCCAAACAAGTGCTAGGATAACGTCTGATAAACTTGAGTCAAGTAAATTAATCTGAGGGGTGCAGAAGACAGACTATAATCAGACACCACAGTCAAATCCTGGCTAATTTCTGCCTACAAGGAGAGCAAGGTATGGAATTATATTCCCTAGCCTACTGTAGCTAAGAGGACACCTAACTCGAAGACACCTTGTGATAGCTAAATCCTCTTCACCTAACCCTATGTATCTTATCTGAAAAGGATTTTTTAAACCAACTATGCAATAGCTACATTTTTAGTGCCGTATGTACAAAACTGAAGCTGTACTTAGGCCTTGTTTACACAAGGCCATCCAGGAAAATTAATCCAAGTTAACTAATGGTGTATTTGAAGTAGGTTAGTTGAACTCCACTGTGAACATCTGCATTCAGAAGTAAATTGGCTTTAATATGTTTAGTTTAATTCACTTCCAAAATGAATTAAGATAAACCACATTAAAGTCACTTTAATTCTGAACAACAGCATCCACACAAGGATTTAATACCACTGAACTAATCCATTTAAAATTCACACCATTAGGTAATTTTTTCTGGCTGGCCTCTGGTAGACAACCCCTTAGACAATTTATGGGTTTTATAAGTTTTGGGGACTGTGGACATTAACAATTGATTCATACACATTTAACAAGCATCTCTTCTAATAGTGGTACAAATGATTTTCAGCATGTTATCACCAGCCTGCCACAGAAAGTATCATGTACATATCTTCCAAAGTGCTTTCTCTGTTTAAAGATTACTGTGTTTTGATACCTGCTATGTACAAGTATCCAAGGTCAAATGCATATGTTTAAAAAGGAACCATGTGAGTGCAATGATTGTAAATCAAATTTCCTATACTTTTTTCTTGGGTGCAATGGAAAGTTTGCAGTCTACTCAACCACTTCAGCATATCAAAAGAGAAAGTCATTTTGATATCCCCAAAATAATGACAATGCTCTTTTTCTTGTAGTTTAAAGGATTAGACTTTTTAAGTTTGTCTCAGTACGTGAAACCTTTTTTTCAACAACACTTAAATTTTGCAACTCAAGTAACTGATCCAGGAGAGCCAGGATGATGTAGCTAACAATTAGACACGACAAATGTCCAAGTTTTTTATTCCTTGGTACCTCGAACAGAACAGAATCTGCTAGCACAATGCTGATGCACCGATTCACTAATGGCTTAGAGGAAAGAGGGCTGCTACTTTCATCACAACTGCCACCTTCTGCAACAGCCAGGGATTTCTTTGGTGGCCTCCCGCCCAAGCCTGATACTGTTTTGCTGGTGAGCTTTGATGAAGTCCTAGCCTGAGCTACACAGGGAAGTTCTAAATTCAGGCCCAAAGTCATCAGTGAGTTTTGTATGCAAATACCACCAGTTGCAGGCACATATTTACATATGCAAGTTGCATAATACTGTCGCCGTATACACTTTTAATCACACTTGACGATGTGTTCAGAGACTATAGCAATGGGTGTAGTATAAAAACCTGGACAGTCAGTCTCAGGCATGGTGGCAAGGCTACAATTACATAACAAAGCTACGAGAGTAAACTTGGTACCATCGCATACAAATGCACTAAAGGAATCTGGTACATAAACAAATTAGTGAAATGTTTATACGAGGAGCACTTCCAACTCTATTCCCATAGGCTTATCCACTTCACCCTTCAGGGAGTCATTGCGAACAAAGCTCTACAGCATTCCTGTGGAGAGAACATCTGGATCCAGTTACCAATACCTGCAGCAGTGATGAGGTTTATTGGCTGTTTGGAGAGAGGCTTTACCCCTTTCCCTACCAAAACCCAGGCAGGAACCTTTTCACAACTGTTTTCCTTAAGACATTTTTAATGAAGGGGAGAGGAATGGAGCCACAAAGAGATTTCTGCATAAAGGGAAAAAACTTGTGTTGTGTTGGATCTAGTTTTGGAAAGCCATTCCCAAACTATTCTGTAGTTTGCTGCGAATCAACAGTGATTGTTTAGCAGACGCTTGCAGAATCAGGCCTTGAATTTGAATGAAGTACGTACATGAATGTATATCTCATGTGACTGCCTGTATATCACAGGCAACTAAATTTCACCACTGTATTGAGCCTAATAACTTGTATGTGGCTAGAGTATATCCTCCAGAAAGGAATCCAGACTTGATTTGAAGACATGAAGAATCCACTTTCCTTGGCAGTTTGTTCCAATGGTTAATCACCCTCACTTGTACAACTAGGTACTTACATAGTTTGGAATTTGTCTGGCTTCAGCTTTCAGCGATCATACAGAGTGTTCTAACACCCCAGTATTTACACACTATATACTCTCTTCTTTCAGATGAGCTAAACAGATAGCGCTCTTTAAATTGCTAACGCTAAGGCATTTTCTCTCATCCTCAGATGTGGCTCTTCTGCACCCACTCCCATTTTTCAAAGTCTATTAAAAAATATGGACAGAACTGTGCATGGTAATTCAGCATCCACCTCATCAATGCTATATACGGTGGTAAATCACTTCCACACTCCTACTCACTCTTTCCTTGTTTCTTCATCCAAAGATTGCATTAGACCATTGTGCTACAACATTACACTGGAGGCTTATGTTCAGTTGCTTGATCACTACCAACCCCTACATCTTTTTCAGAGTTTCTTCCTTCCAGGGTACAGTTGCCCATGTGGTAGGTACGGCTGTATAAAAACATTTTATCTGAATAGCCCAGACTACCAAGCAATCCAGAGGGCTCTGTATGTCTGCCCTGTCCTCATCCTCATTTACCAGTCTGCCAAACTTTGTGTCACTTATCTGTGAGCAGCAGCAATTTTGTATTTACTTCCAGCTGACAGATAAAAATGTTAACTAGCTTTGGGTCTAGTATTTGTCCCTGTTGAACACCACTAGAAATTTCGCCCATCTGATAATTCTCCATTGCCAACTACTGGGAGCTCTTTCAATTAGCCAGTTATCCATTTAACATATGCTTCATTGATATTGTAGAGTGCTTATTTTTTAAATCAGAATGTCATGCAGTATTAACATGTTACAAGTGTCTAATTGTATTACAGCTACAGAGTTTTTATCTACCAAGTTTGTAATCTCAGAGTTAAATCTATTTTGTTTGACAAAATCTATTTTCCGTAAAACTTCGTTGACCGGCATTAATTTATATTCCTATCATTTAATTCTTTAACTGACTCCTGTAGCAGCTTTTCCATTATTTTGCCCAGGACAGAGGTCAGGCTAATTAATCAAGAGTTACTCATGTCATCTTGCCTGCCTTTTTTGAATACTGGCACAACTGTATCCCTCTTCCAGGCTTCTGGAATATCCCTTGTATTTCAAAATTTATTAAAAGTGATCAACAAACCAGATCTCTTTAGCCAACATTTAGGACTCTTGAATGCAATTTATTCAGCACTTGCTAATCAATATCTCTAGCTGTCATAATGAAATCCAAAATAGAACCCCCACACATTGGGTACAATAAAGACTGCGAGTGTTAGAAAAAGCAGTCTCACATGGAAAAGAACAATGGCAACTAACTACTGGATTCCTTTCTTCTTTAACAGCTGCTTTCAATTGTTTAAAAAAAATCAAGCATTTGGGAGAGTCAGGACATTTCAAAGGGCATTTAGGCACAGAAAGAAAGTCCATAAGAGTGGACTTTTGTGTTTTTGAAAAAAATCAACCCCTTTTAAAAACTTTTTGTATGTTAAAACTTTGTACATCTCAGCTTTTTTTTTTTTTTTAAAAAAAGGTATACATGCATTTTTTATTCCTCATGCATTATTAGTTACTTTCTATATTAACATCTGTTAGTATGAAACTGTTCATGCCTTCTTATTTTAACAGGAGAAGATATTTATTAAAGTTGCTTTTCTAAATTCCTGTTTTTCCAGTGGTATGTGAAAACACAGTCTGGGCTGAAACTTGGACAACAAGTTTTTAAACTGGGATCTATGTTTCTTCCTCACCAGTCCAATTAAAAAAAGTAGTTTCCTGTCAACTAGCTATCTTTATGCCTTCCATTTTTAAATTGCTTTGGGATGTGTTTTTTGTTTTTTTTGTTTTTAAACACAGACTTAGCACTCTCCCCCCCCCAATTCTCAAATAAAAATCAGCTACCAAACAAAAGTTAAAGTAAACAAACCTGGGCATTCTGAGATAAACTTGGATCACGGTGAACAAAAACCACTACCATTCACATGGTGTCTTTAGCATTTTCTTCGTAAGACAAATTTTACATTGAATATGGACAGCACATAAAATTGAGTTTAAATACTGAGAGGGTAGATACAAAAGTTTGCACAGCTTTCACTGGAACATTACAGAACAAGTTGAAGGAACAAAGCTGTAAAATGGTTATATTAGGTCTCAAGGTGGAGACAGTGAATACAGTTAACATTTTTCAGAAGTGCTTATGTGACCTAGGACCTTAACTCCCATTTTCAAGAGACTCAGGCCCTTAGAGGTCTTAATCCCATTGACTTTCAATAAGAGTTAGATTTCTAGATGCCCAAGTTTCTTTTTAAAATGGAGGTTGGTTCTATGTCACTTAGAGCTTTGGAACATTTTACTAATATTCTTCTTCATTAGGACTCATGTAGCTATACAACAATTACTCAGTTTGTTAGATAATTCTAGACCAGTGATACTCTGAGGCTCAGGAGCAGCAAGGGGCTCTTTAATGCGCCTTTTTGCCGCACATATTATAACACTGATTTAATTAACAACCAATCAGGATGTGTTTACTATGTTAACCAATTGTAGAATACTTGGTCAGTCATTTTGCTGAGAGAATAAATTATATAAATAAAATAGTAAATGAAACAATGAATTCACACTACTCTGGCTCTTTTGGGTAATGTTGATCATTAATTTGGCTCCTGAACCGCTGAGGTCTGAGTATCACTATTCTCGAATGAAATTCTCGCTCTGGTGAAGACAATGGTGAAACTCATTCAGATGAGTGGAGGCAGGATTTCAACCACACTGTATAAGAAACACTCATCCTGTTTTAGCATGGACAACTTTCAACAGCTATCAGAAAGGAAAACACATGCCAGCCTGCTTAGTGCGGATGAGCGAATAGATTTTCCAGTTCACGGGCTCATCAGAAGGGAAAAAAAAAAATCTATTTGAATTTAAAATCGAACCAATTACAAAAATTCATTTCAAATTTACCAAAACACCACAGTGACCCAAATTTGAATTTTGTTTTTTTAATCTGATGTCACCAAAAGGTTTCAATTAACCCACAACAATTTTTCATTTTGATTTGGCCATTCTGGATGCTTGTCAACTTTGTATGTCTTTTTTTAAAATTTAAAATCAAAACAAAAACTGGTCAAAATGAAACACTCCTCCCCCAAAAAACCTATTAGTTGAATTTGAACTGTATTGGCAAATAGTTCTGGACCCCCAAAAATGCATTTTCAGGAACCCCCCCCCCAAAAAAAAACAACTTTAGTTGAAAAAAATTCAACCTGCAGCTGTGACCTCAGTTCTTATTCCTGGCTCCCTCATGCCCCTGCTGAACAATCACTTCATCTATCTGTTTCTCCTCTCAACATTTGTCAGTCTTTTGACTTAGACTGTAAGCTCTTTGGGGTAGGGACTCTCTCACTAAATGTTTGTACACAATGTAGCCCTTATCTTGCCTGGCAACCAAAATTCTGGCATTTCCTACCTTTGGAGTGCTTGACTTTGCAACGTTAATGTTCTTTTAATGTAGTTTTGTGTATAGCCTTCAATTCTAAAGCGAAGACTATATGATAACTAGATCATTCCTTGAGTTTTCATAGCCAAGGATGAAAGTTGTAGGACCATACAGTCAAGAAATTTAACCCCACAAATAAGAATGAATTGTGGTGTTGACTTAGAGCATAAACAGAGATACCAGATGCACATCTGCTCCGGGTATGTAGCTGTAATACATTAAAAAAAGAAAATTCCTTTTCACCTCCTTCATTTTCCTATTTGGGGGTCTAACAACAGTAGATGACACGATACAAGATGAAAAAGCATAATTTGTTTAAAAGGAAAACAGCCTGTTTTGCATTCCTGGGTTCAGGATTACATTTGATAAGTTTATTGCAAAACAGAGGCTTCAGTGTAAGCTTTGGTCAGGACTGGGGGCACAACAGATCTACAACAAAATTTATTTTTCCAGAGAACATTTGCAGGTAGTTTATACAGGAAACGAGATCATAGTAAATGGCAGAGTATGGTGGAGTTAATGATCTATGCACAATAATTGCAGTTAGTCTTCAAATGAATGACTACAGCAATGGGGAAATGGTTTGTATCAGGTGTAATAGGTTCCTGGGTGGCTGTTACTTAGAGGTACTAGAACCCTTAGCTTCACCCAATAATAAAATCAGCCTATTCATAAAACAGCTCTTTTATGGTTAAGCTACTCTGGGTGGCTGAAGCACAGTTATTTTGTTCTTTACAGCTAATCAAAACACAAGTCAGTAATGGTACAGTGAACACTGTCACTTCAATACCAACATCCCTTAGAACAAGTGATTAAATATACATCAATCTGTGGGTATAATACAAAGTAATCTTAATTGGACACGGTCAAAGCATCTGTCTCTCAAAGCCCTCTATTTAGCAGCAGGAGATTATTTATGCTAGTGTTGTATTCCATTGTCATCTTTTAACCAAGTCAATCTTTAGCATGACTATGTTTCAAGCTACATGAACAATCAGTCACAGCATGCTGTGAAAGTCACTTGTTCCTATGACGTGCCTGATGGATTTCTATGAACATTTTCTTATGCATAAATTACATTTTTAGAGAAGCACATATAATTATGCTATTGCACAATAAGCCACAACAGCTTCCAAATGCAGTGCTGGACTCATCTCCTACACAAATCACAGTAGAGGCTCTTTATAATAGTACTTCTGTAACAAAATAAAAGGGCATATCTTAAAATGGGTCAATTTAAAATTAAAAAAAAACAAAACCGAGGAATTGCTGTAACCCAGTACTCCCCGGCACCGCATGATGGTAGACTGGGATGCATTTCTCAGTGTGCACGATCCAGCACTTGTATCTAAAAGTGAAATTTATACTCCACATTGCTGTGTGCGCTTTCTGCTTATGGCTGCCAGAGTTTAAAAATTAAGGGACCTATTCTCAGTGTAGAAGTCTAATAATGTTTCTTAATGGCATACAGCTATTCAATACTTTAAAGCTCAGCTGCTTCAGGCCTGCCTTATTTGTACTGGAATTGTGCACACAACTCAAAAATTGCATACCGAAACGCATCTAATCAGTTATTTTAATGTATAATTGTACACCTGCATCAGTTGAAGTCTCCCCTTCACGTTTTCTGGAGTGCAGTCCTTACACACTTCACCTGAAAATGAACACAATTTACCACTTCTCTCTCAAACTGGCCACCACAGATTTTCAACAACAGCTGGAAACTTGGGTTGAATTAGAATGGAAAACCAGCTGTCTAACTCCATGATTCTAAACTGCTGCTGTGAAGTGGCATTGCTGTTAGCAGAGCCACCACAAAACATGGAAGTTCAGAATGTTTTATATAGTCTTCAAAAATCAAATAGAGTGCATACATATAGTGAATACAAACAGCAGTCCTCAGGACAAGTTTCATGATACTAGAATAAGCAAAATGAGTAGCTTTGAAGTCTGAAAACACTGTCTTTAAATTGGTCTATTGTGCCTAAGAATTAGGAATGATCTCCAGTTAAGAGGGACAAAAGGACATTAACATATTTCCTAAAGAGAAGAGTGATAACTATAGAATTCAAGCCACAATTCTGAATTCCCTTGGCTTTCTTGTATTAAGAATTGCAATATTAAACATTTTAAGATTGTAAAATGCCATTGTTAAGGTATGCAGATGCAAACATGTACAACTGTATATACATGTTAGCTGCCAAGGCAAGATTTTTATAAGAATTCATGTGTACGTGCGCAGAAGATATAATCCCTTTATAGTGTACTGGGGAGGAGAAACACTAACAATTTGCAGAATGGATTTCAAATTGTACTCCACTGGCAGCACTTCAGGAGAAAGAATTAACACTGAATACTACTATTGGGCATCTTACTTAAAATTTCATGGTTTTAGGGAACTACATTACGGTATACCAATCCCTGTCACTGTTATGTACTGAGCAGTACCTTGTTCTCTAATGACTCAGGCCATCAATTAAAAATAATTCCACATGTGAAAACATGCACACAAATTTGGTGCTTAACCTGCACATGCAATTGCTATAGTTCTGCATGTAAATTAGGGGACTGCCAACGCAAAGGGACAATTCTGATCATTTATGCATGGAATCCCCTCATTTGAAAACATGGGCCTCTGTGTGAAAATAGGAAAAAGTTCCTTTGATTTATTTGCATTCCACAGACTTCATGGAAAAAGATGTTAGTTTCCCTACAAGTAAATTTAAAACTTGTGTCTAAAGGGGAAAGATTCCCAAGTCTACAAAGTGAAAATTCTGATTAGAGGCCTTTCCTGCTTCCACTGAAATTAACAGCAAAACCTCCATGGGAGTGGGGCATTCTAAGGGATTATTTTAAAACCAAGAATAGTTGGATGGTTAATTTTTAGATTGTGGATTCCACAATCACACAGAGATTAAGCAGTAGTTTGCTTACACCTGGGTGTTATATCATGGGTGTGAAATTATAGGTATATACACTATGAACATGATTTATAAACTGCATGCTTTGCAGAGTTTTTATATAAGT